TCAGAAAAAAAGGTACAAAAGTTGTCACTGGGGCGGTACCTTTTTGAAAAGACACACCTTTGAAAGTCATGTAGTGTATGGGCATCAAAAGCTTTTAAAAGAACATTGATCTGACTAAAACGTTAACATGTCCTGTATTACTGAGACTGAATTGGCCATCTGTCCTCAGCCAGTTACAGTTTCTGATAAGCTGTTTGCTGACCAAGACATGGGTGTGGACTTTGGTCTTCATTCACATTGATCAAGTTTGATCAAGTTCAAAATCCTGACAACTGTATGAGCTCCACCTGGACACAATATGCAATTTTTTCCTTGTTTTTGGATCCCACATCTGTCTCTCTGCCTCACAATATCAGTATCCTGAGCCCACTATCAGCATACCTATCAAGGCACTGGGCCATCGCACAATAACAGCACCCTGCCACAAAAAACTACCAATGAAAATCGTATTAAAAAACCGTGTCATATCAGGAGAGTGTGGTCTAGAGTAATGACTGCCAGGGGTCTTATTTGCGTTATGCAACATCAGTTCTATTGCGTTATAGGAGCACATAAAAAATGGGCACACAAACAGGAATACTGAAGTTTTTTTGCATGATGGTTCAGCAGTTGAGCCAGAGCACATAAGACCTTAAGGTCTGTCCCTAAAAGCCTCTGAGGGACGGGGGTGGGGCTTGGCAAGATAGGCCAGGGGGTGGTATTGTGGCACAAGCTTTTAATAAATGCCGGCATGACGGCCAAACTGAATCCCATTAGAGATGAAGGTCTGACGAGTAACAGTCAATTCTGTAACAGTGTAAGGAATGACCATCACACATGGTTAACAGTTATGTAGGGCAAGAGTTGGTGTTATTCACTGTGTTCAGCAGGTATATCAGTAGCTTTAAAACATAAAATTAAACCTACTGAGATAACAACTAATATACTTAATGTTGAATTTGAATTATTCAAAGATAAGTTTGGCTAATACTTAAACCTTGTGAACACTCCACAGAGTACATTAGCTCTCTGCTTCCAGCACAGAAATTCATTCATCCTTTGAGGAACATAAATGTATTGTGCAGAGAAATTAAGGAGCCGTGAGTGTATGAGTGTGTGCATGTGTGTTTGAATCACCATAAATCTGTCACTTTGGTAAGATCTCTGCATGAGTCACACAGGCTCCATATGAAACTTGAAATGCTCAACTCTACTCAGAGATTGTTATGGCAGACGTTTTAATAACCTCATTCATACAGGTGTGGGAGTGCACAAGGAAATTATAGATTAAATATGTAAAAGTTTAACATTCCCATTAAAAAAACACTACATGATAGTTTATTGTACTTTTTATCATGCGAAAGTTCAGTGTGGGCACCTTCTGGTGAAGCTTTTCACAAGTATTCGGTTCAGGGCAGTCCATCAACCGTCTGTATCAATGAGCCATATTATTATTGCAATAAAGATGGAATATTAAAATAAAGTTTAAAGATTTATTATTGCATCTTTAAACTGTACTTTTTAGTCAATTATTT